AATGGTAAGCTTCTCATTTCGGTTCCCAGCGGTAAAAGCTTCCGGTGTTCAATTGATGAGGCCGCACCATAGCTCAGTCTGTTAGCCGCTGGCTTCCCACGGCGGCGACCCGGGTTCGAGCCTGGATCCAGTCATGTGGGATTTGTGCTGGACAAAGTGGCGCTAGGGCAGGTTTTCTCCGAGTATGTTGGTTTCCCCCGCCAATCTTCTTTCCACCAATTGCTCCACAATCACCATCATCTGGGGCTGGTACAGTAGGCCAGAAGTCGCCGCAGTACCGAGTGGACTCAGTCTCACCCCACTAAGAATACCTCCGTGGCCTGAGTCCGCAAATGAACTATACCGACCGAGGGACCGCCGCTTGTAGGCGAAGTTAGTGCCAACTTTAGTAGATAGAGGGTGTCGCGTGTTCAGCGCAACGAATCTTCACGGCCATTTGTTTCGGTTTTCTAGACCTGAGCCGTTATTTCCTTGAAATATTTCAGTTATCTTCACGAGGCTGTGTGGACCCGGTTCCAGACCAAATACTTCTTATAAAATCTGGTAGCGCCGGAAATCGAACCCGGGACCTCTGGATCTGTAGCCAGGAACTCTGACAACTAGACTAAAGTGGCGGTTCACCCCACTAAGAAGAATAAAAAAAATCCATTTGATGAAGGCCCGCTGGGTGGGTTGGTTTCAATATGGTGTCGAAAAGAAGTCAGTATCTGTACCGACTGAGCCATCGCGACTGACATCACTGGAAGGAAGTGAGACATCGGAATCCAAAGTGGCTGAGATGACGGAGAAGTGATATGTGGCAACGTACTGCGTTGCAGCTACTTAAGCAGTAGGGCTAATCTATAAAAAACAGCCATAGCCAGTAATGTGGTCCGAGAACAGGACTTTCCTGTTGTAACTCATCCTCTTGCTGACGCCGTTGTCACGATCGCGATAGGTCAAGGTCAAAGTCCTGTCTTTAGTAACTTCGGGAGGGGGGGGGTCGTGAATTCCATCCTGAGGAGACGGAAGGTCGCGGAAATGACTGAGAAATAATGGCACATCCTTCTGGGATTTCATTTCGTGTTGTCGGAGAGTTCAATCAAATTAAAGGAAGAGCGGAATGAATTACGTAATGCGTTATGTACACAAAGCGTATAAAATGGACGTGTAATCCCGAAGATGGAAGCAGCTTGTTCCTCCGAAACATTGGTATCCATCCACAAGATTACACGGTGTCACAACGCAGAAGACTCCCATACACGAGAAGCTCAAATATTTTAGCATACCAAGGACGTTATGTCTGTCCGTCCCATGCTTTATATTTGAAACAGTTTGACCTACGTCGGTTTAATCTGGTATAAGGGGATCTACATGGAAAGTGTTGGTTGTTAAACAATCCTAATTTATGCCAATCAGTTGCAACGTCTGCTTTAGTTGAAGAATAAACGGAACAGACAGAAGAAATTAACACGTGGCATAAAACGAAAAAGAGTATGTGACGTAAAATGTATAACTCACTAAAAATAATTTTATTCGACAGTTCCCGAGATTTGTAAATATTTAATGACATACAAAAAAAGATTTATCAGAGTACTTCGGTTTCCCCTGCCAATCTTCATTCCACCAATTGCTCCACAATCACCCTCACCTATCATTTGGGGTTGGTACAATAGGCCAGAAGTGGCCGCAGTACAAGGGACTTAGTCCCACCCCACTAGCAGTAAAAAAACTAAGTTACCAACAGAATAAAACGAATTAACTGACTGTGTGATTAATAACTAACGAATCATCCAGTTAAACCAGTAATTGCTCAACCAATTAACTAACTTAACCAAACTCACTCTTTGTCTGTCTATCTGTCTATGGCTCTGTAGCCCTTTGTTGGACCTTGGCCGCTTTTTCAGTTTCTTAATCCTATACATAGTCGGCAGGACTCGTCGCAAGGCGCACACAGGACAGCACAAACACAGAATAGACATTCACAGACATCCACGCCTGACGTGGGATTCGAACCCATGATCCCAGTGTTTGAAATGGCGAAGACCGCGCGGCCACTGTGATCTGCCTACTAAACATTGCCCAACTAATAGCCAGCCAACGAACCAGCTAACAGTCTTCGTACCGACAAATTAACTATCCATCTGCATGGTATAGGATTTTCTTTGGGCAATCGATAATTCAAACTCGAGGAATTCCCGATCCGGATGTTGAAGGCTCATTATCTCCCTCATATAAGTCCGTCATTGGACTTCTTCTTGAATTGGATCGTTTACATACATATTCTACGATCCGTTAACATATCCCGCTGACTGTACGCCTAGGTAACCCGCGTGAAGTCCCGTGAGTTCTTCGAAACGAAGTGCTATGTATTTCTCGGTTCCCCCATGTGCGATGCAAGTTCGATCCATACTTATATTCTTGTGGATCATTTGGACGAATGGTACAAAGGATCCCGACACTTGATAGGTAGACCAATAGGCCTACACAGAATGAAATGTTTCTTTGTTACGTAGCGACGACGCGTCAGCTACTGATATCACGAAGATGTGAGTGACTTATGTAGGGAGCATTACAAATAACGAGACATGGAAAATCTGGGGAGAAACTAGCGCTCGCGACCGTTTGGGGGAATTTCGATAAAGTTCGATGTGAATACGTACAAAACATCAAGCGCGGATCTTTCTAGTCTTGTTCACATTGGTATTACTGATCGCACATAATGTAGGGCTTTGTCCAAGTGTGCATGTATATATAGACACACACAGACATTGTGTTTGCACAGTTGAATTAATGTAAACAAAGGGGAGACTTATCTAGAATTGCCATG